TTTTTATACCGATGCTTCTAATCCAACTGAAAACACGTATATAATCAAGTTTACGTATTTTACAAATCCATTTCATAATAAAATTTTTTGAAGACTAAGCTCTTTTAAAAGCATTAATTAATTTTTTAAAAAATGCATTCAAGTAATTAACTCTATCATAAAAGTTATCTCCGCAATACAAAAATGTTTTCAAAGAAATCCCAAAATAATTTTCTGAAATAATTAATAAAGCTATTATCGACTTTTTAACTAAATGTTTTTACTTATAAATTATATATTCCGAATAAATTAATTCTTTTTTCCTTTTCTTGTTTTATAAAGTTTGAGTATTTGTTTAAACTTCATTAACTTAAGAGAATCTAAAAAAAGAAATTTGAAATCTTCAATTCCTATAGTAATTTCGTTAAAAATCAGTTTCATTTTGCTTTAAATAAAAGATTAAAACACTTGAAATAGTATTATGTAGATTCCTTCCTCAGTAATTAAAATATTAGAAAAAAACTTGTCGGTATCTTGCTGCAAAACGATAAAAAAAAAAGTTTAGGTTTCAAAAAATGTTTTGTCATTTTTATTTAGACTATTTTTAAAAGTGATCTTATTAAAAATCAACGCGGAGTTGACTAAAATTAAAATAAATCGCAGTGCTAAACATTTAAGAGAAATATTGTTAGAGAAAAGTTTAACTTTTATAACAAAAAAAAAAAATATGTTTAAGTTAAAACTTTTACTTATATTAAAAAAAAGCTCTAAAACCATACAACTTGTATGAATTTTTTTTATTTTAAACCACTAATTTAATATCAGTTCAAGGAAGTTACATTTCGATATTGAGCGTCTAAACGTTGGTATTACAGGTATTTTTAACAGTAATATTAGCTTAATTATAGATAAATATGTTGTGGTTATTATCATAGTTGGACTTGTAAAATTAAATCTTATTTAAAAATAATAATAAAAAAGTTTATAAATTAACATAATTTAAAGCATAATTTTTATATTAAAAATTTAATATGAAATCAAACCAATAAACGTAAAATAAAATGTGAAAATAAAACAAATAAATTGTTCAAATCATATCTCTCGACCAAAAAACATAAATTCTTAAAAAGATTGAAAGTAAAAAAATTTAAACAGAAAAATTAAAATAAATCTAGTCCTATCCAGCTAGCAGATATCGGGAAAAACATAAAAACTATTTAAAAACACTGGGTAAATTTTTAAATTGATTTTTTATTTAATAATATAAAATATTTTAACTCTTTTTTTGTTTGGTAATATATTTAATGTTTATTAATAATATATTAATAATAAACATAAAATAAACTAACAAAAAATGATAAGAATATAACTTTCATATTAGGTGATGACTTATACAACGTACCAAAGAGATGTATTTGTAACTTTATAATTATAAAGTAAATGTAATCGTGTTCAATTACGACGTAAACAATTTAAGGGTATTTTGTGCCGGAATGAAATGAGGTAACAAATGAATGAAATTAGAATAAATGAATGAAAAGAGAAAATGAATGATACCGGAGAACAAGATATAGCGTTATAAATGAACACTTCAACTACTTCTTTGTGTATACATTGTTGTAACTAACGTTCACTAATGTTGTTAATAAATATGGATTAATATGTTTTAATCGTATTAATGACACATTAAAAAACTTTAACTTTCGCTCTTGCTTTATTTTTCTTATTTATTTTAGAAAACTTTACACCAAAGAAACCTAAATAATATAGTATGAAACATAAAAACTAAAAAAGATGACCAAATATTAAATGTTTACAAACATTGTTTATTTTTTGTTCTTGGTTAATAAGCAAAAAATAAACATTAAACTCTACTTTTATCAAAACCGCATGGAGCTATTTTAGCTATTGGACCTTGTAAGTAAACAATTTATTGGTCGAAGCACATTTTAAAACTTATATATAAATATTATGTATAAATAATATTTATACCAAACCATACTTATTTTACACTTAAAGTAAAGAGATAATAACTAAATTACTTTTATTCCATAGAGGAAAAAGAATTTATAAAACAATAACAATAAAAATAAAATATGAAAGTTGTAATTCTCTAGAGGAAAACAACGATATTTATAGTATTTATTTTGAACATTTTTTACATTTTTAAAAAGCATCTTTAATAAAAAGATATGAGAAAATAGCATGACAGAAAGAAAAAAAATCATCTTAAAAATAACAACACATACCAAATTGTTTTTTTCAAAAAGTTTTTTAAAAACGTTACTGAAAACAAACAGGATACCAGGAATCTTTTGTATCGCTCATTTCCAATATTTTTTTACGGTTAATAGAAGAAATTCCGAAACAAAACCAATTAAAAAAACAACATCTGGTTTGTTTTCTTTGTTACGAAAATTTCAACACGATCTCCGAGGTGTAAAATGTTGTAGAGAAAATATATTTTCCAAACGCGTTTAAACTTAAGTAAATTATATGGATTTCAACACAGTAAAAAAAAAAAAAAAAAAAATTATTCAGCTACGCCACACACCTATTATCAAAGGCCCTTTTTTTTTCCCTCATCTAATCTAAGAACAACGTTTTGAAAAATATATTAGTAAACGGTTGCAAAAAAGATATTAATTTTAAAATTGTGTATAGTTATTCTATTTCCATAAGTTGTAGCAACAAGATTCCAGTCAACTAAAACACAAAGAACCAATCGATTTTCAATAATCTATTTTCAGCTTCTGAAATAGATTATTGAAAATCGATTCCAATGTAAACAACAAAAAAAAGAACCAAGAGTGGAGTTCTGTTTCAGTAGAACGATAGTAAGGCTTTGAATTTTGAATTACCGTTGAGTATAAGCTAATCATCATTTAATAGACAAACCGTTGAAATAATTTCCGTTGGTTTTTCAATAAAACCCGCTGCGTTACGCATTAAACAAAATTTTTGTAACGCAAAAAAATTTAGAAAAAAAAAGCGATTTTAATTACGAATAAAAACTCAGTTTACTAAAACATTTTACCGCGTGTGACATAATAGCCAATAATAAATTATAATAACAAAAATATATAATGTAAAAGTGTTAAAAATAAGCAAAAAATTTCAAAATGTCGGTTTCCGCTCGTTTCTTATCGCAACATTAATCTCATTCGTAACGAAAAAAAATTATAACTTAGAAACCTTTGAGCATAAGATTAGCTGTAAAGTTCACAGAGCTCACAAACATAATTAGAAAAGAGACAGAGAGACTTCAACAACAACGAAAAAAGATTATATTTGTTTAGTGAAAATTTTAGAATATTAAACGAAAATATATTTCAGCTTTTATGTAGAATACTGCTATATAAATACTGCTGTCAATTCGAGGATCGCTGCTGGTAATTTAAATACCGCTGGTTTTAAATTCCAAGGTCGAAAAAATCTAATTATAATTATAGCCAAATCGTGACACCTAAAGATTGTTTACTTTTTTATAAAAGAAAAAAAAAATTCTAAAAAATTATGACGTAATTATAGCGCGAATTTTCGTCTAGACAGCAAACTAAAAATGTTTTTATACAATAAATTACTAAAAATTAAATTTTTAAAATAAAAATGAAAAAGTATCTCTTATATAAAATCCCGACCCCCCCCTAAAAAAAACTTTATAGAAATAATTTATTTAATAAATGAATATAATGGAGGTCATGTTGACAAAAAATAAATATATATTAAATATGAATATATCAAAAATAAAAGATTTGTTTCCATCCATTGTCTAGATATTGTATTTTATAGCGATGGCAGAAAAAAAAAATCACTTTGTCTTAAATATGTAGAATATCTTGAATGAATCAATGACCATTCATCATGAAATACCAAACACAAGAGCAGAAAAGTTTTTCGAATTTAGAGTTACTCCGAGCGTATGCGAATTTATACTTGCACAAAAATGTCTTAAAAGTATAAAATAACTATAAAAAATTCCAGCAGAACAACATACCAAAAGCTCCTAAAGGGTTAAATCGAAATAAACAAATCAAAACAAACAAATCAACTCAATTTCTTTGCTCGCCAACAGCGAAGTTAAAAACATGCAAACAATAAAAACGAATGCACGTGCATTGATCACCCATATTCACAAGCATAACCTTTAGCAGTAAAACTATATAAATACATTAAAAATTCATAAGTTTGCCACAACAGCTTTTTGAGAAAAATAATAGTAAACACGCCTTTATCGCTTACAATGACAAACAACATTATTTCCAATATAAAACTTTTAAATATCATTAACATTTTTTATTGGAATTATAAACGACTTTTTATGTTATTCTATGTACTCAATCTCTTTACATATTTCTTTTATATTTGCATGTTTCTATTTTTAAAATTTTATTAAAAAAAAAAAGTGAAACCTTGAAGGTAGATGAAAATCCTCCCCACACACCACCTCAAAACAAAACCTTTATGAAAAAAACGTACTTTTTTCGGTGGCCTACAACTCAATCTAATTTTGAAATTTCATAAATCGCAGATTATGAGGTTTTTGATTTTATAACTACGCTCTTCCGGTATGTGTTTTGAATATTTTGTTGTTGATTCGAATACGAGCCAAATTTGATCAGCCTTGATACAGTGGTTGAAGCGATGTCTTCAGAATCGGGAGGTATAAGGTTCGATGAATGCTAGGAAAACTTATTGATTGTTATTAAAAAAAAAAAAATTTGCAGTTTAAAAAAAAAACGTCGTTAAAAACACAGACCAGGTAATCGGTTGAAAATTAAATTATCTCAAATTGGTTGAAAGTGAAAATCTATAAAATAGATCGAAAAATAAATCGTTTGAAAACGAAAACGTCATAAATCGGTTGAAAATAAAAAGACTATAATTGGTTGAAAACAATTTAGGTCTCAGTAGGTTATCTAAAAATTACGCGTAGTAAACAAGATAATTTTTTTTTTGTGAGATTTTCAAATGAAATTATTTTTACTTTAGGTCTTTTCAAACCACTCCAGTATGATGAT